ACACTCATACACTGCTGGTGGGACTTCAAATTGGTGCAGCCAATATGGAAAGCAGTATGCAGATTTCTGGGAAAACTGGGAACAGACCCACCATTTGACCCAGCTATCCCTCTCCTCTGTCTATACTCTAAGGATTTAAAAACAGCATACTACAGGGAGAAGTGAAGTTAGCCAATCCCAAAAAACCAAATGCCAAATGTTTTCTTTGATATAAGGAGGCTGATTCATAATGGGATAGGGAGAGGGAGCATGGGAGGAATAGACGAACTCTAGATAGGACAGAGGGGTTGGAGGGGAAGGGAGGGGGCATGGGGTTATTAATTTGGTGGAATGTGATGATCATTATTATCCAAAGTACAGGTATGAAGACACAAATTGGTGTGAATATACTATGTATACAACCAGAGATATGAAAATTTGTGGTCTATATGTGTAATAAGAATTGTAATGCAATCCACTGTCATATATAAATAATAAAAGACAGGCAGTACAAAATTAGAAAACCATAATCTCTCCTACAAATTTAAAGTACAAAAATCTTCAATAAAATATTAACAAAAATCCAATGATGAATAAAATTAGTTACATAACACAATCAAGTGGGATTTATTAAAGATATGCAGTACTGGTCCAGCATCAAAAACCATGAATATAATCTATAAATAGACACAAGCTAAAGAAATTCAGGCTGAGCATTCCTAATCTGAAAATTATAAATGCTCTAATCTGCTACTTTTGAGCATCAACACGACACCCTTAAGGGAAAATACCACACCTGACCTGGAGTGATGGATCACAATAAAATGCAGGTGCACTGAGGCTGGGGATGTAGTACAGTGGTAGAACACAGGCTTAACATGTGTGATACCCTGGGTTTGAACACCCAGAACTACACACACACACACACACACACACACACACACACAATGCAGGTGCACTAAAAACAAGTGCATAAAATCACCCTCGGGCCATGTGTGGTGTACTTCAAAAAGAAATGTTGTGTTTAGACTTGGATCTCATCCCCAATATCCAGAATTTTCCAAAATCCAAAATCCAAAAAATTTCATCATCTGAAACACTTCTGATCCCAAGCATTTCTGATAAAGGATACTCAACTTGCATCTGGCTCAGAAAGTTTAACAAAAATCCAACATATATCCATAACAAAAATTCTCAGCAAGTTAGGAAGAAAGTGAGGCAAGGACACAAAACAATGCATGAAAACAAAACCTACTTTAAGAATACTTTGTTCCACTATTATCGATTAATGCTAATTCAACTTTACACAGTATTTCCAAAATAATCTTTAAAACCAAGTATTTCAAAATCATATTGCTAACACTCTTGACTTTGGCCCACCTATAGGAAGAGAAAGTGTAATCTTACCATCTGAGTACAATAAAAATCATTATTTTTCTAGAACTTTAGTTTTTTGTTTGGAGGATTTATTTTCCCCCTTATAATTGAGAACTGCCACTTTACATGAAAGGACAGGATTAGGTAATTAAATTAGGGGACGCTTTCAGGGATAAAGTCATAAAGAAAGAACAATTATCAGTTTATGCACTTTCTCCCTTTTATGAATTATCTAAACTGATGGTTGATTTCCACTCGTACTTTTCCTACTTGAGTCAATTTAAAACTCCAAACAATAGGGTATAAGAAAGACATTATCACCCTACTCAAATAAATTCTGTTCTACTCTTAAGATACACGTGGTCTCAAAAGTCCATGTTTCACAAAGCTTCAGTGTAAAACAATGAATGTAATTCTCAGTATCATTCTGTTCTAAGAAACCTACTACTTTAATACCACACAGATTCTTACATTGATAAACCATTTTCAGGAAGATTTAACACAGGAGGAAACTGCCACTGTTGGAAGCAAAACCAGAAAAGATCAAGACTTGGCTCAGAAAAGTCATTCACTTCTCATATATATGGAATACTTAAAAATACCAAAAGAAAAGACCCATAAAATATTTAAATAATGAATTTATAGCATGACATAATTATTTTTAATCAAAAATAAAAAGTTAACACCCCAAAAAACTAAAATGAAAATACTTAAATACAATTACTCTCACACAAGCTCTTTAAAAGGGAACAATTTCAATCTTTAATAAAAGATTTTCAGAAGGCAAAAAGAACATGGTATATTTAAACCAAAATCATTGTTCTGCAGTAAAAGGGAAAAATGGATCCAAACATTATTTATTGATATCTTATCTAGAATACAAGTCTATAAGAAATAAACAATATTGAATATAAAATAACCACACAAGATAGAATAAAACACCAGCTGAAAGATGATGACTTAGGAAAACCTGATTAATTTACTTTAGATAAACTGAGGTTTCCCAAATTTTCCAGAGTTTCTCAATCAGGGGCAGTTTTGTCCCTGCCCTAGGACATCTGGCAACATTTTTTATCATGACTGGGAAGTGTACAGGCTACACTTTCTGGGTACCAGGGATTGAACTCAGGGGCACTCAACCTCTTGTGGGAAGAGGCCAGAGCTGTGGCTAAACATCTTATAATGCATAAGGTAGCACCACAACAAAGACTTATCCATTTCAGAGTGGATGCAATGGCACACACCTGTAATCTCAGAGACTTGGGAGGCAGAGGTAAAAGGATTGGAAGTTCAAAGCCAGCCTCAGCAACTTAGCAACACCCTAAGCAACTTAGTAAGACTCTGCATGGAATTTTTTTTTAAAGTGGGGAGAGGTGCTGGGGATGTGGCTTAGGTTAAACACTTTTTTTTTTTTTTTTTCTGGGTACTAGGGATTGAACTCAGGGGCACTCGACCACTGAGCCACATCCTGGCCCTATTTTGTATTTTATTTAGAGACAGGGTCTGAGTTGCTTAGTGCTTTGCTTTTGCTGAGGCCATCTCTGAATTCACAACCCTCCTGCCTCAACCTCCTGAGCTGCTGGGATTACAAACATGCACTACCGCCCATGGTTTAAGCATATTTTTTTTTTAAAAACCTACCCATAATCAAATATATTAACATATAAAATATATTAAACTGTCAATCCCCCATACTGGAGGGGAAAAAAAAGAAAAAAAAAATCCATTTCAAAGTGTAAAGAACAACCCTCTTGAGAAACTCTATCCTGATAAAATTTACTGAAAAGATGTTGGCTACACACATTCTTATAATCTTATAATACATATAAAGCAATACAATTTAATGTCTACTAAAACATAGTTAGAACTGTCAAGCACCTAGATGTATCCTATTTCTAGTTATACCAATCTTTCCTCCTCCTGCCTTTCCCTGTTACTCTCCTGACCATTGCTCCTATTACACTCCTTTCAATCTACCTTCCCATTCCAAAACCTCCAAATTCTTCTAAGAAACAAAACAGAAAACACTGCTTTATATATGCTACCAGAGTTAGCATGACTTCTCAGCAATCACAAGTTTTAAATTAATGTTTCCCAAGGTTTCAAGAAGTCATGAATCTAGTATATGATCATGAAAATCAGTGTTGTTTTACTTAAAAAAAAAAAAAAAAGGATGCTGTAGGACTACTTTATCATTCTTTCTTATAACATCTAAAAAGGTGAGACTTGACCCACAACTCAAAACAAAATGCCACCTTACATGTTTCTAAACCATTAATCAAAAATTTCAAATTCAGGATTTCATCAGTACAAGGTGAGTTCCAAAAGTTCACACCTTGCTAACAAGTGGTCCTTGGATTCACATTAGCTGCACTTAACAAAACTACTACCTAATTGCCTTCCTTTTATTTTTCTTAAGTCTCTGTCAAATACACATTTTAACATTCCCGACTGGGAGCCAACTCCATTTTTAACCTATTTGTATTTTTCAAATTCCACTTAAATCTTGTCTTAGTCTTAACTTTTTCATTCAACTGCATACAAATAGCATCATTTAAACAGCTGTATCCCAGCATACCTTGAACTATTTTTTAATTTTTTTTCTGTAATTTCTCTAGGCATTTTTTTCTCTAGGCCTTTTTTTTTTTTTTTTTTCTTTTTTTTTTTTGAGGGGGTACTGGGAATTGAACCCAGGGGTACTTTACCACTGAGCTACATCTCCAGTTTTTTTAATTTTTTATTTTGAGACAAGATCTCACTAAGTTGCAGAGGCTGGTCTTGAACTTGCAATTCTCCTGCCTCACCTTCCCCACTCACTGGGATAACAGCAATTTATTACCCCATCCAGCTCATTAATAGTTTTGAAAGTAACATGAAGAAAACTCCTGATAAAAGTACAAAAAAATTAGGAGCACACAGATAAGCCCGGTTTTAAAATTTATTTTCAATACCTTTCATGAAAATGACATAATATCAAAATTATTTTTACATTAGAAGGAACTAAATACATTTTAAATACTCTAAGCCTCACAAAGATGTGCTTATGGTACAATGTCACCTAAATTTGGCAGTCAGTTTGAAAAATGTCACTTAACTAATCATATGTATATAAAAACTGTTATAAAGACTTTGGAGACAGAAACAAAATTGAATTATTTCAGAGAGATAATTTGTTTATAGGGAAATTTTATGTCTGTAAAACAACCCCAAACAACAACAACAAAAAAAAAAACTCTACCCGGGTTGGGGTTGTAGCTCAGTGGTTGAACGCTTGCCTTGCATGTGGGAGGCACTGGGTTCCATCCTCAGCACCACATAAAAAATAAATAAATAAAACAAAGATATTGTGTCCATCTACAATTTAAAAAATATTTTTAAAAAAAACCTACCCATAATCAAATATATTAACATATAAAAATATATTAAACATAGATGAAACTGTCCAGTCATCCATGCATCCAAACAAAAGGCAGAAATATTTAACACAAAGTTAAACAATGGTTTAAACTTCACTTATGATCACTTATGATCTAGGATAGTACTTCTTTCTTTAGAGAACTATTTTTTACAACCATTTCAGGGCACTATACCTTCTTAAAGTTACCATATATTTAATGCTTAATAATGCAGAAAAATTCACTCACCATTTCAGGGGTGTGCCTTCATATTCAAACCATATCTCACTAATGTCTTCTTGTCTCATAACCTTCTGAAAGTGCTTTTTCACCTTGTCAGTTACCAACGTCAAATAACTTACTCTTGGCAAAAGCAACTGAAATGAAAATTTGTAAAACCATATTTACTTAATGCGTATTTAAAAACAACAGTTTTTTAATATTAAGGAAAAACAGCTAGATTCTATGCTTTCCATTATTTTGAATATCCCACATAAAACCTACTGGTTTTTATGGAAAATTAAAGGCTAGGTTAAGATGTTTGATTATTTTTTATGGCATCATTACTTTTAAGTATAGCTTATCACATATATTCCTATAATTATGAATGCAAATCTATCTACAATCTTTCTGTAACACATAAAAATATAATGCAATTAGATATACTATTTAGGATATTTAATAGTTCTGTCAAATTTGACTTAAAAGTTAAAATGATTCCCCTTAGTTAATTAAACAATTCTGAAAAGATAATCAACTCAGTCCTAAAGTATGCTTTGACTTATCAACCAGGACTTCACAATAGCCTGTCATCCCAGCTATTCAGGAAGCTGAAGCAGGAGGATTGAAAGTTGAAGGCAAATCTGAGCAACTTAGCAAGACTCTGTCTCAAAAAATAAAATGGGCTGAGGGTGTAGGACAGTGATAGATTACCCCTGGGTTTAATCCCCAGCACTGGAAAAAAATATTTCAGAAAGAATGTTGGATAAAGCCTTAAATAGAATAGCTTTAAGAAAATCTGTTTTCCACCAGGAACAGGATCCAGGAAGAAAACATGAAAACTGGTTATGATTTTTATAAAAAAAAAAACAAAAAACACAAATAGATATAAAAAAAGGGGGAGGATGGCAAAAAAAAAAAAAAACATGCTTTTCCTCTTTTGCAATAGACACTCTTAACTATTTCATGCTTTACTAATCTGCCTTCTTTTGCTGCTAAAATTGTGTTGTTACTCAGATGCTTTTAGGAGTCTGTGTCCCATCTTTCATAATGGCTACCAAGGTGATATCTTTTGATCAATACAAAAAGTAGAACTAATGGGTCGGCAAGTATATACAAAGAAATATTCCTATTGAAACAATTGACATTTAATCCTTGAAACTCAAGATAACAGCCTTTAATTGGGTAGGAGACCATAACAGTGGTCCTAGGAGGTACAGTGTGCAGTAATGTAGGAAGGAGATAGTTGGTATGCTCTAGTACAGAATGGAAGGCATTGAATACTACAAACGTGCTGTTGGATAGTATTACAGATTCAACAAAATGCATCCTTTATACAGAAATAACCAATGGTCTGGGAATGTAGCTCGGTGGTACAGCACTTGTCTAGCATGCATGAGGCCCAGAGTTCAATCACCAGCATGAGGGTTGGAATGATGGATCAGTGAAGAAAAAAATAGAAAAGAATAGTATATATAAGGAAAAACACTAGATATTTTTTAAAAGGAGTATTATCACTTCTGTTTTACATAAATAACTTGCCAAAAGAATATGCTATTAAATAAATAGCAGACAAGATTCATTGGAGTCTTTGGAAATGACAGAATTAATACAGATGTGTCGTGGCAATCTCTCAAAAAAAAAAAAAAAATCAAAACAGCACAGTAAATTAGATTTATTTTAAAATAAGGAGTATATTCTATTAGTCTAATAAGATTCCAGAACTATAGTAATAATGTATTCCACAGAAAATAATATTAACCCATTGAAAATGATAAGATGGAAGACACATTATGACTAAAGAGACTTTGCTGAGTGTTATATTATATTCCTAAGGTTCAAGGTTGCTCAAGAATTCACAAAGGATTCCAATAAGGAAAAAAGAGTAAGAAAGGGATTTTTGTTTGTTTTATTCAATGTTGCATTTCCACTGCACTAACTAGTACCTACAATAAGCATTTTCTAAAGGAATCAGAGTTACCAAAGGGCAAGTGGAACAAAGAACCAAAACTAATAATTAAAAACAATACCCATTTTTAGGGGAAAACTCATAGTAAAATAAAGTTGCAATCTTCTGATCCACATTGACCTGTGGGGATAATCTATAACTAACATAAATATCCACAGCAACACTAAGAAAGAACTCTTAAGAATGACTACCTATTATACACACAGATACAATTTATCTAGAAAATATTTACATACAAAAAAAGCAAAGAAAAAGAAAAGGAATTACATCATCCTGCCTTGGATCTCCAGACTCATAGTTGGGCTAGGAGTGTAGCTCAGTGGTAGAGATCTTGCCTGGCTTGCTCAAGGTCCTGGATTTGATCCCAAGCAACAATAACTTTAAAAAAAAAAAAAAAAAAATCCTCTCTTGTTTTGCTTAGGTGATGTCTTATTTGCTTATTTCAAGTTCCTTAATGTGGTAAAATACATCTACCATAAAATTTTTAAGTGTATAATTCAGTAGCATAAAGTACATTGTGCAATCATCACATCCATCTCTAAAACTTTGCTTTTCATTATTCCAAAAGGAAATTGAGCATTAAACAATAACTCCCCAATCCTCCTTCCCACAGTTCCTGGTGACTACTACCATTCTACTTTATTTCTCTTTGAATGTAACTACTCTAAGTATGTCATGAAAGTGGAATCATACAGTATTTCTCTTTTTTTTTTTTTTTGGTGGTTTATTTCACTTAGCACATCTTCGATGGTTTTTTAGGTTCTTCTATTTGAAAAGGATTAATCACATCTGAGGAAATTATTAACTACCATGGAATGTACTGTGTCTTATTCCTCACTTAGCACTGGTATAAAATACTCAATGACTTTAACACTAATTCATTTTTGTCTATATAATTTAAAAGGAATAAATGCTTGTTTTATACAGTTGTATGGAATATTTATATATCTGGAAAGGGTAGCCAAGACTTTTTGGGGGTGGAGGAATCAAATCCAGGGGCACATTACCATTAAGCTACATCCCTAGCTTCTGCTGGTTTGTTGTTGTTTTTTAATTTTTTGAGACAGAGTCTCAAAAAAGGCTAACCTTGAACTAGTGATCATCCCGCCTCAGCCTCCAATACATTAAGTTCTATTCTATTTAAACAATTTTCAGTTACCAAACTTAAGACTTATCTATGATAATAACAGAAGTAAAATATACCAAAATTCTATTCTACTCCAATGTGTATAAATATCATACTAGGCAATACAGAAAAGGCACTAGTGAGACAGAAAGTCCTTCTGGAGTATACAGGCTAAAAAAGGAAAACACACTAAATATAAAATTACAAGAGACGAATGCAATTAAGAAATAAAGAATGTCACGACAGCAAATAGCAAAGGACTTTAACCCAACTTAGGGACTTAGGAAGCTTGACAAGGAGCATATTTTAAGGCAAGAATAAAAGACAAATAGGAATGAAACAAAGGTAGATATGGATGCATGAGTGTGTATATGGGTAGAAGATACTTCTGCTCTTTGCAGATAAAGGACACTGCAAGACAAAAGGCATGGAGTGAATGCAGAACAAGATGGGCACATTCGAGTGTTTAAGAAGTTGAATATGACAGAAATGTAGAGAGTTAGAACAGAATAGTATATTAGAAGAAAGAGGCCAGATTATGGAGAACCTTGTAAACTATACTAAGGATCTGAGAGATGATATAAAGCCTTTAAGAGCTTTCAATGAATAATTTATAAGACAAGATCCATGTTTTAAAAAGATCACTCCAACTGCAGCCTAGAAAATGAAGAAGGAAAGACTAAAGCAGGGAAACTGGTCACTGCTACACAATCCACCCATTTTAAGTGGTGCTTGAACTAAGCTATAGCTGTGAGGATGAAGAAAATCATATAAGTTTGGAAGATACTAAGTTACTCACCAAACATAAGGGATATCAGAAAAGAACCATGAAAGGATGAATCCTTTCATGAAATCTTACCAGGTTTCTGGTAAGAATAATTAGATGAATGATAAGACTACTTGCCAAAATATGAAGGGAATCATGGCAGATGACTGGGTGCTCCAGGGATAAAGATGATGAGTTCAGTTTCAAACACACTTTGGGTTCCTTAAACATATCTAAGTAAGGATCTCCCAACAGTTGTATACATAGGTCCAGAGGAGTTGTCCAGACATGGTAATGCATTTATAATCCTAGTAAGTCAGGAAACCAGCCTCAGCAATTTAGCAAGACCCTCCGCAACTCAGTGAGACCCTGTCTCAAAACAAAAAGGACTGGGGATGTAGCTCAGCAGGAAAGTTCCCCTGGGTTGAATCCCCAGTATCCCCCCGCCACACACACACAAAAAAAATAAAAATAAAAATAAAAACAGGTGGGTTATAAAAAATACAAATGCTTGACAAAGACATAAAAATGAACAAGAGCTTTAAATGAGAAAAGTAGTGAAAAAAGAGAAGACAGAACCCTAATATGTATCAACATTAAGGAACAAGTGAAAAAACAAAGGCTAAAGAAAAACCAGGAACACTAAAGACCAAGAAAGACAGTTTCACAAGGTAGAGAAAACAGCTAACAATATCAAATACTACTCAAAGATAAACAAATGTAAATTCAAAAAAACTCCATGTTGGGTAGGAAAAAAAATCATTAGTGACTTTGGTAAAAACGTTTTTGTTGCGATAGTATCAAAATGTGATTACAGTGAACTAAGTGGTAAGAAGGAGACAATGAGTATAAATAATCTGTTCAAGAAGCCTACCTGTAAAGGGACAGCAAGAAGTTGAGAGGAAGAGAGGGTCACAAACATTGTTATTTTAGGACAGGAAGAATTTATGCCAATATGAATACTGTGATGAAACAAATGGATAAGAAGTTGGAAGTAAAATAAAAAGCAAAGGTGAAGAATATGAGACACCTCAGTTTCCTGAGAAGGCAGGAGACAGCATCCTAGGAAAAAAGACCAGTGACGTGGCTCAGTAGTAAGCACTTATGTAGTAGCAAGCATGAGGTCCTGGGTTCAATATTCCCAGCAGAGGCCAGGGGGTAGGGGTTTGGGGGTTGGGGGTGGGAGGCAACACAACAGACACAAAGAGAATGAGAAAAAAAGTTCACGTGAATGCAGACAGGTTTTGCACATTTAGTGGCTGAATAGAGGCCTATCATAGACAGTGAGATAACAAGTTAAGTAAAAAGAATGACGTCAGGGCTCAGAAAAATTGTCACAGTAGAAAAGAACAGGCACAGTTAACTACAGAAAGGTAAAAGGACTAATGGGCCAGGCATGGTGGCACACAGCTGCAATCCCAGAACCTTGGGAGGTTGAGGCAGAAGGATTGCAAGTTCAAGGACACCTGCACAATTCAGTGAGACCATGCCTCAAAAAATAAAAATATTAAATATTAAAGAATATAATCCCAACTGAGGGATTTGGCTTTTGTCAAATCCTAAACTAGGGATCCTCTTGCCTCAGGAGAAATAGAAAATATTAAAAAAAAATCTAATAAAGGAAATGTTTTCTACAAATAAATTATAACCACATTTAGTTATAAATTTTGCTAAAGACACAAAGCTGTTGAGATTTCCAAAGTTAACATTACTTAAATGTATGTATGCCAGCAACAAGATTACCTACCTTTTTTAAAAACATCATTTCTAGTAAGAAAATTCAAAAAGAAGATTTCAACCAGAATCCCAGAGTCTGGGGAGGTTTTAAACATAAGTACCTGCCATTTACACATCCCATGCCAGATGCTGAGGATGCAGAGAGGCATGTTCCTACACCCAAAAAGTAACTGACCAGTCTCCATAAGGAGTTTCTTCCAGCAATCTGAGTAGCTAGAGTAGGCTGAGGAGTAGTGCTGCCTCTCAGATAGGCAAGGGAATAAGCACAGGGTAAGCTTCATTCAAGTGAAACAGAAGAACAACTAATCACCCCACATATAGTTCCTCTTTTCCATATCTTCTCCAAGTAAAAAATAACAATATATGTACCTGAGACCCAAAAAGAAAAAAAACAGAACAATTGAAATCTGCTTATTTGTGACGCTTTATTAAATAGGTAGGATATTATCTCTAATTGACAGACACATAAGTTGTCTGTTACTATACAAAGACAAAAAAGAAAAAAGTTCACACTAAAATCAGAAGATACTTGAAATTCATGGGGGTTTTATTTGGTTGTTTTGTTGTTGTTGTTAAGATGGGGTATCATCATGTTGCCTAGGCCACCTGTAAACTCATGACCCTCAAACCTCAGGTTCCTAAGTAACTAGGACTACCAGCACATACCACAGAATTTTGAGGTACAAGAGACACTACCACTAAGCTACATCCATCACCTGAGCTATGTTCCCAACCCTTTAAAAACAATTAAAAAAAAAAAAAAAAATTTAAGACAGGTCTTGCTAAATTGCTCAGGCTGGCATCAAACCTGGGATCCTCTTGCCTCAGCCTCCCAGGTCATTGAGCTTACAGGTATGCATCACCATACCCAGCATGAAACTCATTTTTAAAACAAGTAATCCATTAACCCAAATCTACAAGTCTGCATGCAACAACTGATATTCCATATATAAATTTTGCGGGAAGGATGATGGAGATTGAACCAAGGTTTCATGCATGCCGAACACACACCCTCTGTTTTGCTACATTATCACCCCCAATATATTATTAAATAGGTATCATATGTTAGCTTAACATATATTAGCTTAGTGAACATATAACATAAAGAATCCAATCTGAACCTATTATTTCAACTCCTACTAAAAATAGCATAGTTTATGATCCCACTATGATATAGATAGATACACACATATATATATATATATATATATATATATATGAAAGAAAAAAGTCTGTATGTATATGATGCTAGGAATTGAACCACTGAGCTATACTCCTAATATGATTCCACTGTCATAAGTCACAAACAAGAAAAGAAAGTCAAGAAGGCATCACATTGTATCAACAGTGGTTTTATACTCTAGGTGACAGAATTAAAAGTGATTTTGTATTTCCTTCTTTTTGCTTATCTTTGTTTCCTTTTTTTTTTTTTTTTGCAAAATATGGATTAGTTTTATATAAAATGTTAGATGACAGCCTCCAGGTTCTTAAAACTTTATTTACAAAAATGAACAAAGTTAACTATTCCATTTACCACCGTCAACATACTTACATAATATGGTTCTGCTTCCCTTTCAGTTATCTCATCTTGATACAGAGTGAAGCAAGTGGGAATTCGTCCAAACCACACATCTCGGAGCACATCTTTGTCATCTGTCATTCTTCCAGTGGTTAAAGCAGTACATATAGGCTAAATTCCTTATTCAACCAAAGCCAAACTGAAAATAAAATGAATAGCATTAGTCAGATCCTTGGGAGAATAAATGAACATGCTACAAAATAATAGAAAAAACGCATGCCCAAAAAAATATTCATGCAAAAAACAAAACAAAAAAACCCCTACATGATTGAGCTGGACACAGTGGCACAAGCCTATAATCCCAGCAACTCAGGAGGCTAGTACAGGAGGCTGAGGCAGAAGGGTTGCTCAAGTCTAGGAGTTTGGGGTCAGCCTGAGCAACATGACAAGAATCCATCTCCTTTTCATAAATTTTTTTTTAAAGTGAGGTCAGCATTCTTTAGAATGAATGTAAACAATAAGTACAATAAATTCTAAATGAGTGGTATTGTTTATTTAAAAGATTCACAGAGGGGCTGGGGCTGTAGCTCAGTGGTAAAGTGCTTGCCTCAAAAGTGTGAGGCACTAGGTTCAATCCTCAGCATCACATAAAAATAAATAAAGACATTGTATGTTCATCTACAACTAAATAAATATTTAAAAAAAAAAGATTCACAGAAGTAACCAATTCAAAATTCATGTGAGCTGGGCATGGTGTCAAACACTTGTAATCCTAGTGGCTCAGGAACTTGATGCAGGAAGATTCTGAGTTCAAAGTCAGCCTCAGCAAGAATAGGTGCTAAGCAACTCATTGAGACCCTGTCTCTAAATAAAATACAAAATAGAGGTGGGGATGTGGCTCAGTGGTTGAGTGTCCCTGGGTTCAATTTTTTTTTCCCCCAAGGAAAAAGAAATCACGTGCAAGTAATGTTCATTATATTTTCCAATAATGAACCAGAGTCAACATGAAAGTTATACTCACATCATCATTTCAAGCCCAGAAAGTCTTATTGTTTACCTAAAGAGGACTTTTCACCTATGCCCTATGATTCCTGATAACCAACACACAGGCTCATTCTCACAATTACACTTGCCCTATGCAATATATTTAACCTCTCCTACTCCAGATACTATCATTCTATCATTCTTCCTGAAAAAAATACTTCCTCATCATGGAAAAAAAATCTGCATATAAACTTATTCCCCATTCTAAATTTCATCTGATCTGCTATCTGGTCCCACAACTATCTCCAGTTTTATTTACTATACTTCCTTTTATAAACTCTCTAGCAAAAGTAGTCCCCTAAACATCTTGCTCTGTGTCCTAACCATTCCCCTAGCCTAGTATGCTCACCTATTCAAATCCTATCCTCATCAAACTCACAATCCTCTGCCCCAGTAAAATAGTAATTAGTTCTATTCTGAACTCAGAATACTTCCTATACCACAAATTTGGCATTAAACCTGCAAATGGAAATATTCTAGTACGGTAGAAGGGAATGATTTACGATCTCTGTAATATCCTAGTGTCCATCAGTGGTAATATTCCACAATTAACCAACACCATAATACACTGCATGAATAAACACTGATATAATACAGTTGATAATAAACACTTAGAGTAACTCAATAGATGGCACCTGGATACCAATATTCAATATACTCATTCAAATAAAATTTCCTATCTTCCTCCCATCTTTCATAGACAATTCACAATTTATCATAATGTATCCTGTGAAAAACTTCTAAATAAACATATGCAATCCCAGCACTGCAAAAAAAATTATATATGAACAAATATCAATTAATATTAATACTATGCTATTCAAAACCAATGCCAACTGTGTTAAGACAACCACAAGTTAATTAGTTAGAAAAGTTGGGGGTCAGTTGAATGCAATATCACCTACAGGCAAATAACTGAAAAAGATAGAAAAAAACCTGCCCAACATAAAAATTCCAGGTAACATTTATATCAAGTAAGAACTCTGATACTTAAAATGAATCTGCCCTGGTATGGTGGGGCACACCTGTAATCCCAGTAACTTGGGAGGCAGAGGCAGAAGATTACAAGTTCAAGGTCAGCTTCAGAAACTTAGCAAGACCCTGTCTCAGAATAAAAAATAAAAAGGACTCGGGATGTAGCTCCACAGTAAAGCTCCCTTGGATTCAACCCTCAGTACCAAAAAAATTTTTAAAAAAATTTTTTTAAATCCAGTATTCTTTTCAGCATATCAGTATTTTAACTATTACTAAAATATGTCCACAAGTACCTATTTTAAGCAAATGATACATATATGTAAATTTCATGTAGTTCCACAGTGATCAGTTTTAAATTCAAACATTGAATTTCCATAATCAGAAATTTTCCAATTTTACAAATCACACAAAAATAATTTACTGAATATAGGAAAAACCTCACTACTACCTGACTACATTAATAATTTACTCTTTTAAAAGAAATTTACTAGTGGTAGGAATTAATGAAATCTAGATTATGGCAAATAAGTAAATCTAAAATTGAATTAGATAAAAGGAAGTAAATAGTGGTTTCCACAACCATGATAACAGCCAATAAACAGCTACAACTGATATTCCCCGCCTGTTCACAAGGAGAACAACAATATAAGGCAACATTTCTTTACTAAAAAGACTGAATTTTAATTTTTGTTTTTCTTTTGTGTTTTGCAATGCTGGAGATTGAACCCAGGGCCATGTGCATGATAGGCAAGCACTATACACTGAACTATATTCCCTACTCAATTTAATTACAATTTTAAAGTTCAAAAGTCATTATCAATAATGTGATGCTCTTTTCTCCTAAAAAACAGGTAGAAAATATAATTTAAGACAACTCAAACTTAGAGGGAATGATAACTTAAGTAAACGCATCTCTTCAGGTTCTTTCTTTCTCCTCAGGCACTGGCCTTCTCAAGAAATAATAACCTGATTCCAGGACACCATTTGAGCCATAACCAAAATATTATTCATGTCAATATGGCTTCCTTCTCTCCAGTCTAGGGTGCCAGAACACTTAACAATTCTGTTGTTTCTTTCCATGTCATTCTCATCTATGACTCTCTTTCATTTGTCAGAACAGTAAAAAGAAATGACAATGTTTTCTTCTGTTTCTGAGAGTCTCTCTCCAAAAATTACAAGAAAGGGAGAAAATCTCAACAGACTTGTGTTTTAGTCTTATGTTCCAACAGTTTACCAAAGTTCTATAGTTGGGTTTTAGATACAAAAATACAGAGAAAAATAAAATTGGAAATGTATTTCCCACATACCATTATTTGTTACATATATATTTCTTATATGACCTCAAGGATAAAAATGAACCAAGACAGCTTAAAGTGTAATGTGGTAGACATGATACAAATTTGCAAAACAAACTCAGCAAACAAGGCTACTTACTGCCTCAAAATATGCAGACTCAAATCTATAAAACCTTAATCTTTCAATATTAATACATGATCATCTACAATGAATAACAAAGTATGTCTCTAGGCTAGTTAACTAAAAATGTACAAAAAATTTGATGATAAATGAAAAAAAATTAGAGGATGAGCTCAACAATCTTTTTGTAACCAGAAGCAGAAAAACAAAATTTCCCTCCGAATAACCACTATAGTTTAGGGACTGAAAATGAAAAATGGGACATCAGAAAGCCTGGATTCAAAACCTAGCTCTGTGTTATGGTTTGGACATGAGATGTCCCCTAAAAGCTCTTGTTAATGCAGGAATATTAAGAGTTAAATGATTAGATTATGAGAGCTGTGACCCAATTCTAATCCTAGTTTGAATGGACTAAGTGAAAACTGTAGGCAGATGCAGCGGGCTAGAGAGTGGGCCACTGGGAGGATGCTCAGGAAAGGTACACCTTCTCTTTGGTCCTTCCCCCCCCCCCCCACCTCTCTCTGTTTCCTGACCCTCCTGCCCCTACTTCCACTCCCATGAGCTGAGCAGCTTTCCTCTGCTGGGCCCTTCTGCCATGATGTGGTACCTCTTCTCGGGCCCAGAGCAATGAAGTCGGCTCTGAAACCATGAGCCCCAAATAAACTTTTCCTCATCTAAGTTGTTCTTCTCAGGTATTTTGGACACAGCAACACAAAAGCTGACTAAAACATCCTACCATTTATAATGTGACCTCAAGTAAGTCACTTCTATTTTTTTCAACCTGTAATATGGAAAACAGCATTTACCACATTAGATGAGAACTACATTACACACACACACACACACACACATATATATATATATACACACACACACACACATAATTAAAGTCTAAAATATTTAAAGACTTTAAGAGGCACTGGGGATATAGATCAGTGATACAGGGTCTGGTGCTTCCATACCTGAGGCCCTGGGTTCAATTCCAGAACTGGAGAGGAAAAAAATATATATATATACATATATATATATATATATATATATAT